TGTGCGACCTCACAAATGCGCTTCGGGAAGAATGGTCAAAAATTCCCATAAACACACTCCTAAACCTTGTGGACAGCCTTCCCAGAAGAGTTGAAGCTGTTCTAGCTGCAAAGGGTGGACCGACGTCATATTGAACCCTATGGATTAGGAACGGGATGTCACTTGAGCTCATATGTGAGTCAAGGCAGGTGAGCAAATACTTTTGGCAATATAGTGTACATTTCCAAAAAATAAAGGACATTCCATATAATAAGTTAAATATATGTCAGGATCAGTCAGCCCTAACATCTTGTCTTTTTTTTTTTTTTTAAGTTGCCTCTAGAAGATAATGCCCTGTGCTTTTGCAGTGATGCATCATAGGCTACGTTCACACTGCAGCCTGAAGTGGCCCAAATCCGATTTTTTTGCCCAAATGTGACCTGGATCTGATCTTTTCATGGCTGTCTGAACAACACAGATCCGATTTTTTTCCATTCCGACCCAGACCACTTGGCTATGTGGTCCTGAATCCGATCCGAATCTGATCTTTTCAAATGCGACCTGTGTCTGAACGGCCAGGTCGCATTCATCCGACCTGAACGCCATTAGTAACCGACATAGGTCACTATTCTGCTTCTTGCTACACAGAAGCGGCAAGAAAAACAAACACCATTGCAGGCGATGATGCGGAGAGCAGTATTTATGTTTAACCATCTTAAAAAGATTGAGGTTTTAAGGTTTGAAAAGATTGATAGATGCGCTTTAGCACTTCCATCCACGTTTACTTCTGTAAATACGAAGCACGCTGGCTTGTGACGTCATTGCGTCGTCTACTGTGCATGCGGGACACTTAAGCTGTAGGAATGCAGTTCAAACAGGAGATCACATACAAGTTGCATATATTTGGAAATGTGAACGGCAACGCAAAAATTGGATTTTACAAAAAAATTGGAATTAAGCATCAAGGCCTGCAGTGTGAATGTAGCCATAGGCTCCAATTAATGGCACGCTGACTCTGCTTTTTTTTTAAACCACCACTTGGAGAAAAACATTTCCCTTTCAATTCATCAGAGATTGTGTGGTGAACATACAGAGAGCTTAAAGGCTCCAAATTTAGCTAATTTATAACAACTAGTGAAGTCCAATCCAAAGTGATGTAGAGCAAATAAACCTGTTGATGTTGGAGAAGTTAATCGGTTTTCTGATGCATAACTGCATGCATGCAGTTGAGCCCAATTCAGAAAAACAATTTAAACAGCAATTCATTGATTAACAAGTAATTTTAGCTTAAGATCAGATTTTTTTATTTTTTTATTTAATGTTGGGTTCTAATGTATTTCCTGAAAATATAAGAGCACAGGAGGTCAGACCTACCATCCTCACTATCAGCCAGGTCCTGTGATCGGTGGCCTATGCTGGGAGGTCTGGACTTGCCCTGCGTGGAGCTGGATGTTCGGGACTCTTGGTGGTGAAGCCTCCGCACCTCAGCCAGACCACTGGCCGCTCCGGGGCTCTGCAGGAGCTTGCTTCTCTGCAGGGCCACGCTGTAGTCCGGTGGTTTGAGGTGAGGAGGTCGGGGAGCAGAAGAGCCCGGCCCGCTGACTACTCCGTCTGTGAGCCCCAGATCGCCTAAAGCCAGACCCTGGTAGCCTGGAGGGGTGGGAGGGGGAGCACGGTAACGCTCATCCTTAGTGGGGGAGGTGACACAGTATACTAGATGGAGGTGGAGGTGAAAATGAAGGATGGAAAAAGAAAGGAGGGGATGAAGGGTTGGTGGAAAAGGAACAAAAAAAGGAAAATAAAATGGAGAAATTAAATGATTGTGAGGTTTCACAAGCAAGACACACAACTACAGATGCACAAAACATGCAGAAAATAAAAAATACAAAAACATATATACAACCAATAAAATGGATGGCTGCAGTGCATTAAGGAATGCCTAAAGATGTAATGACTGTTTTATTCGTCTCTCATTCATCATTTAGACAAAGGAATCAAAGAAAAGCTAAATCTTAATATCAGCCTAACTCCTAAAATAACTTTAAAAATAGATAAACAGGAATAATCCTTCCTGGATGGTAATGATGCTAAAAATTGTTGACCATCTCTCCAAGATCCCTCCTCCTGTCAGACTACCATACATGCAGAAGAGGAGATGGACGAATGCTAAGCTACATTTTCTCTGTTCCCTCACCTATCAGGCCCTTCTCTGTGCTTGATGTCACCGTTTTGTAGGAAGCGTCCGTGCTTTGCCCTCCTTCCTCGGTGACCGGCGAGGAAGGATGCTCCGAAGTGTTTCTCCGCTTTATAGTTCCGTAGTTTCCCTCGTAGTTATCGGACAGAGAGCCCGAAGACGTCCAGCTCTCATGTCCCTGCCTGCTCAGATCGGAGCTCGAGTCTCTGGTGTGTCGGTTAGCAGGGATGTCGTTAGCCCATGAGGGCCCGGCGGCCTCCGCCTCAGCTATCGGCCGACCTAACGCCGTGTGCTTGAATCCACTCAAGTGCGCGTGTGGCAGGGAGAGGGGGTAACCGTGGATGCCGTGGTCCCAGGGCCGACAGGAGGAGGTAGGGAGTATTTGGAAGGATTCATGGGAGTTAGAGGAGCAGGACGTCCAGCTGCCGCGTCCGCTGTCCACGGCCAAGTCCAGGGAAGTGTGGTCAGGGGTCAACTCCTCCGTGGAGAGAGACGAGCTGAAAGGTCGGCCTGCAAATCCTCGAGCCAAAACTGAAGAACTATCAAATGAAAAACAAAGCAGAGAAATAACCACTTCAAATATGGCACATTATGCAAGTTCCTGTTCAAAGAAACCTGATATAAAAACTAGGAACATTCAAAACGTAAAATCTTAAAACCCTTCATGACTTTTATCAAAGTTCTACATCAATCTAAGGTAAACATAAACCTTTTGACAGTGTCCAAAATAGAGAACATTTGGTGAAATTACAGCTTTGCGTAATTTATTTCCACCATCTTTACACATATAACCAATCAAACTGATTGGAGGTACGCTAAGATGCTAAGCTGGATTTCATTTGGACTTTAACTAGGCCACTCTAATACATGCTGGGAAGCAATTCTCTGCTCAAGCTTACAGTTTCCTTCCAGAACTGGCCTGTATTTAGCTCCATCTATCTGACAAACTCTCCTGTCCTTACTGAAGAACAAGAAAACCCTCATGATGACACCAACACCACTGTCTGTCATCAGTTTTCTGAGAGCTTTTGAAGAGAAAACTGTTAATATTGATCTCATTTGACCAGAAAAACATTTTCCATGTGTTCCTAAACTGTGAAGGAGACTCTTTCATCACTTTAAGCTTGATACACCTTTCTTTATTGTCTCTACAGCTTTATTCCTGACCTTTCTCGTTAGTTTCTTCATCCTCCAAAACATTCTCTCTTTATTATATTTATTAATGCACATTTTCCATTTTATTAATTAGGTGACTTCTTAAAATGGTTGCCATGAATTTGATTTATAAGCATCAGAGTAAAGAGGGCTGCTTTCCAATTAACAAGAGCATTTTTATTTGTAACAAAGTTCTTAAGAGCAGAAGTCAGTTTCTTTCGGCTGTTATTAATAAATATGCTGAAATATTGTATGACTTGTTATTTAAACACATTTAGTCAGTTTGTGTTTTCTGATCTTTGAGGTACCCACTGGGTTTGCTGTGCTATAAAGAAGCACATCTCCAAGAAGTAAAACAATGATGATGTGAGCAACAAAAGGAGAATAAGTAAAAAAATTTGAAAACCTCATTTAAAAAGGAAAGAAACAGCCTGTCCATTGTAAATAACTTTCCCATAGCAGTTAGGCAACAAAAGTCCCCCCTCAGCTTTATTTTTTAGACCAGCAATTTGATTCACTGACAGTGTTTAAGAGGACAAACACGCCCGTCGATGAAACTGAGCATTATTTCATAAAACAAGTCAGTTACAGAGTAAGGCAGCCAAGGTAATAAAATATTAGAGAGGTAGATATTTCCGTTTCCTCTTTATGAGACAGAACGGTCCGATTATGGACGGACGATAAACAAACAGTAGACAATAAAGAAGCGCTTCTGTTTACTCAGATTAAAACACAGCGGATAAAAGAAGGGGAGCAGTAAAACGTGGGGAGGCTAATAAACAGTCGTTAGATTTTTACGACTTCCAGTTCTTGGTGTTTTTAATGAGGACGGGGTGTAGCTGGAAGCTGCTGCAGGAAGGAAAGGAGGAGTGGCCAACAGCAGCAGATGGAGCATGGGTGGAACGACAGCGGAATAGAGAGAGGAGTAAAAAAAAGTCAGGAGTGACAGAATGAGTAGAAACAGAAGTAGCAAAATGTACTGCTACTCATTTTAGGCAGCCAACAGTGTTCATACCTACAGTCATTTACACCAGATTCCTTCAGAAATCACTTTCTTAGTATATAACCATTTCAAAAGTACGTAACAACGGGCATCAATAAAACTAACAAACGATTCATACCTCAAAGTCAGAATTATCATCTACATCCACCCACTAGGGTCACTAGGACGCTCCATAGACATCCCTGTTCAGCCCAGATATACATGAGCACGCTACTGTGGGCTCTGAGTGACAACAATGCTCCCACTCAAAGGTTGGTACCAAACAAATACTTTTAAAAAGAAACCAACAAGTAGTAAATCATTGACAGTATTTTCTGAACAGAGCGCACTTCACTACAAGCCACATCTGCTAAAAAATAAATCTGGAAATGTACATATATATGCAACACTGGGTTTTATAAGCCGCTGATATCTACTGAGCTGTCTCCCACTAAACCTATAGGGGGAGCTCTTCATATTTCATCTGGGGACGAAGAAGAATGCTAGCTTCCTTTAGCTTGTTGGCTTGCCGCAGTAAGAGCTTCTACTGAAAGATGGGGCTTCGTCTGCTCTTTATTTCAGCTCTGCAGGAGTTGAGCTCGGTCTCTTCATTGGTTCGATAGCTTTAATGCAGCACATAAATGTCAAAATGTGTGAATTCGGGACATTTGTTCTCTGTCATGCCTACTGCTAGCATGTTCTTGTGCTAAATAAAATTTAACCGCTTAATATTTCATTTCCGTCTTTGTCTTCCTACTCTGGCAGTTAGGAAAATTCCACAGAAAAGCCGTACCTTCTTATAAGCAGTATAGTTCAAAGCCTGGGAAAACTATAGCGGCTCATTGTTCGGAAAATACGGTAATCTGACGATGATGCTTTAAAAAAAAAATACAATTAAGTGAAATGTGCCGTTTTTCATATTATGGAAAATCTATTCAGACGACACGAAAAATGTAAATCGTCAAAGAAATCACTTTAATTGCTCTTTTTCATTGTCTTATGTCGACGGCTGATTGCAATAACGCCCCCTACTGGGCTGGAGAAGAAAGTGTATATATGTGAGTGGAAAGCTGTGGTTGAACTAAGCTAAAAGTAGCAAGAATAATTTTATGAAAAGGAACAGAAAGAATGCGCCAAATGCAGGGCGATTGTGGTAAAAAGTTTTCTGAAGTTCTTAAAGTCCTAAGAATAAGAATATATATATTAGTTAAAAAAGATACCAATAACGGAATGGGCTTATTTAAGCCCAGACCTTAATTAAATTAGGAATATTACAAAAACATTTAAAAACTGCTCTTAAAAGTGATAATAAAATACCCAAAAAACAGGAGGGGGGCTTTAATTAAAGCAACATCTCCTTCTAAGAACATTTAACTCCATGGGGCACAGACCAAAATACAAGTTTTATTGCTGTAGAGCAAAAAATGTGAAACTATCGCTCATTCCAAGCAATATTTTAAAGCTTTCTGTAAAAAGTTTTAAACCCTAAAGAGGCCAAATACGTCATGTAATCCTTTAAAGTTTAAATCCCATTCATCTCATTATGCCTTTTATTTTACAAGGGTTGCTTCCAACCTCAGATAATTAAGCAGACAGATTAGATAAAAGGAACTGAACCAGAGCCAATTACCTTGTGCTGGGCTGGCTGTAATCAGCAGTTAAGTGTGCATTTAATGCCGCTGTGCCCTCAGCGACCACAGCCGCCGTTGCAGCCGTAGCGTTTGGAGCCAGAGTGGCTGAAGTAGTAGTATTGGAACAGGTCCGGTTAGAGCGATCGTCAGGCCCAGAGGCCTGCGCCGAGTCGACCGAGCAGATGCTGGAGCGGGAGGAGATCTCGCTGTGACTAGAGTCCGACATGTTGTCCGACTTGCCCATTGGAAGGAGGGGACAACCTGAGAAGAAGGAACATTTAGGGATTAACGACAATGACTGAACAGTAAATGAAAAGTTGGAGGTAATCCAAGCTCTACAGCTGCTCTGTACCCTACCTGTACTTTAAACCACCTGCCTCCGTTAATTCACTCAAAACAAATAAGAATCTTATTATGGCTGATGTGACTGATGAGATTACGTGAACGGCTACAGAGACTGTGGAGTTTGTGTCAAAATGACTGGGAAACAAGACTGACCTCACTGTTTCAACTTTATAACAGAAAAAAACTGCATAACTCAGGAATCCATGAACACTATAGACAAGCCAAAAAAAAAACACCTTCTAGTGATACATTTTCTTTGCTTATAATTAGAACAGATAGAAAAACTGCTTTCGATCTGAGAAAACGATTTAAAGATTCATCAGGATTGAAACTGATGGTGATATGTTGAAAAAACTCTGATCAGTGAATGCACCACTCCAACCATCACTGGGTTGTGTTTGGACATTTATCAATGCATCACATCTTTATAAAAAAAAACTAGAAAATGAAAACCAGCTATAAAATACCAAATAAAGCATCTGTACAACATTAGCAACTGAACCAAAAGGTGCAAACACTATGGAACGGTTTCCTAACCCTTATAAATGGCTCACTGTCATAACATCCATTCTCTGCTCCATCGTTATTAAATATTCAGAGGCATAATGTACGGCTAATTTTTTGCCTTAGAGAAGCATGCAATACAAACACAGCAAACTCTGTTTGAGGTTCAGACAGTTTTCCTCCTGCTTTCTCTGTCTCTGCACAGCCAGAGGAAAGGATTTGGACTGACAGAGCGTCTGCCTCTCTGCTGTGTCTCTCTTTCTGTCTCTGCAGTATCCTCCTCACTCTTTGGCAGCGGTTTCTCTCTGGACTGACTCCTTTCCCTCAGCACCCTGAAAGGTGAAGCCAGTCTTGCCCTGATGGGTGACACTGTGGGTTGAGGTCTCCTGAAATCATGTAGGGGAGGAGGAGGAGACCTACAGTGAACCATGGGATGCTCTCTATGTGTCCCTACACGTGTCCTAGATGGTAGTCCTGCTCTTGTCTGTACTGCACCCTGTTGGCTCTGCTGCCTGGATCGTCCTCTGCTTCCCTCTGAAGAAAACACGTCTTTCTGGGCTGCCTCTGTTTGCTCCTCAGTCTCTTCCTTTAGCTCTGTCTGTCTGTCCCTGCTGCTCTCTTCGCTACGCTGCCTGGTCATCTGTAGGATCCTCTTGTGAAGAAGGGCCCCACCTATGCCGTAGCTTCGCAGACTAATCGTGCCCGTCTTTGTGCTGGTGTCACTTGTCAGTGATGACGAAGATCCTGAAAGGTTCATCTGGCTGGAGTTCTGCGACTTTGCCACACCTCCCACTAAATAAGACGAATAAAAGCAGGAATTAGAGAAAAGAGACCTGAAATCTAATTCTGTATGAAGAACTTTTCCAAAACCATCCAAAATTAAATCTTGTAATAATTTACCCGATGAGGAAATCTAAAGGGTGAAAAGCGTTGCATACCTTTGCGTGGGGAGCCCTGAGGCGACACTGTAGGGCTGGAGTGAAGGGATGAGACGGTGGAAACCGTGTCATCAGATGGTCTCTTGGTGTTCCACTCATCTGAAGAGTTCACCGCAGGTTTCTTCACCACCTGAGGAGAATTGGAGTCTACAGGAAAGAAAAAGGAAAAGCCTTTATAGACAACCATGAAGCTCTACAGACACTAGATATTCATCTATGATGCAAAAGATGAATAAAAAAAAAAAGATGTTAAGGATGATATCTAGCTGGGGAGTACTCACTGGATGCACCCGTGTCTTTGGCAGTGCTCTTCTTCCGAAGAGGGTTTAGTGGCACCTGGACCTGAAGGACTTGTGACACCCTGTTTTGAGTTTTTCCCGAGGGCAGGGTTGCCCTAAGGGACACCGGAGACATGTCTGACTTGTTGGACCGCCTCTCGCTCAAGTTTTTGCCCACTGAAAACAAAGACAATGAATGAGAAAAGTACCTTCACACATGGTTCCACCAACGCCTCGCACTAGTTGCTCACCCTTTGTAGAGCCTGCTGTAAGGATCAGTTAAATAACCTGTCCATCACTAAAGACAGACATATAAAGCCTTTTTAATTGCAAAAAAAAAACAACAAAAAAATGGAAACCTTGTCCAAGCAAAATCTGGATTAATAGAAAGGATTATTATTCCACTATTTAGGTTCTCACTCATTTATAAGTAAAACAAATATCTCGATGTAACAAGATTTAAAATAAATGAACCTTTTAATGCATCAGCAAACTGACAAGCAGTCTGATAGCTGTTTAAAGAAAAAATATATTAATATTGGTAAATAAACCTTTAAAACAACACACCTTTACCACAAATTGTACTATTGGAGAATTAAAGATTAAATGCATATGCAATGAGATTGAAAAGATCAAATGAGGAAATTCACCTATGATGTTCTAAATTTCCTCGTTCTTTAAACAGCGTTTTGGACAAAGCATCACAGATTTTTTAGCCCATAAAATTCTATTTAATGTAAACAACAGATTTTAACGCCCCAAGCTATCAAATGTTATTCATTGTTACATCACTTCTGTTAATGAGAGACAGACCCCCCAATTCTAATTTCAACATTTCTAAGCAAAAAAATACTTATGATTATCTAACAACATACAGTGAAGAGGATACAGAGAAAATATGAAAAAGTAAATAAAATCAGCAGATAATGCTCCTCTGTTAAAACATGCACAACTGCAAGAGTAGCATAATTTTACCCGAGGAATTCTGTGATTGTGGAGGGTGTTGCATTTATTGCAGAATCTCCGTAACCTCACTAGGTGGCAGTGTTGGCGAACATTACAGATGCAAGCAGTCATCTGTCAAACTGCATTTAATGTCTGATAAAACCACAATACTCTCCATTTTTACTCACAGGTGTTGTAAGATGGCTCACACTGCAGGGACATGATTTGGTGTTTATCCTCATCCGTCTCCACCGTGAGGTTAGAAAGGTACTGTTTCACCTTCCTGGCCATCTGAGCGTCTTCGTAAAGCTTTTTGGCATTCAGGAGCGAGCTGCGGCGCACCCGCTTCTTGTGGGCTCCTCCCTGCACATCCAGGATGTTGGAGTTGGTGCTGCCCTGACTTAAAGACCTGATGTAGAGGAAGGAAAAGAGAAAGGAGGAAGCAGAGAATGAAGGTAGATGCAGAGGTAAGACAAGGACACAAAGAAGAGAAGGAAGTGAAAATGCAACAAAAAACAAACAAATAGTATTTAAAGACAATTAGTGACAAATCTTGATGCTATTTGTGATTTCTAAAAGTAATAATACTTCTTCAGTAAAATCTTTAAACCTGTTTTGTAGCATCATTTTAGAATGGGACCATGCAACTGGGAGGGAGGCAGCACCCCTTATTGTGCCATGCTAACATAGTGCGGAACAGCAGGACATTCAGTCCGATGGAGGCAAAAAGGGTTAGGAAACAAGGTGCAGAACGCTCAATGTGGAGATGCAGATGTGAACTAAACTGGAGTCAAATAGTATTTGCACGTTTGCAACACTTAATTTTACTTTCCATTTTTAATATTGCCAAACAAAAAGTTTGGCTTGGGACTAAAAAAAGACAACTGGACGAACTGACCAGCTTTGAAAGTTTATTTTGTAGCTTTTCTAATGTGTTCAGATAAGTGGGGGTGTTAAACAGAGAATTTGTCTCCTTAACTTTGGGGGAAGAAGCTTCACATGAAGCTCTTTATTTATGCTCTGTGTGTCATAACAAAATCCCAAAAAAGAAAAAAACGACTTTGTTTTCCAAGTCTGAAGATGTTTCGCTTCCCATCCAGGAAGCATTTTCAGTTCAAAATGTCAGAATTAGCGTTGAGTTAAAAGCTTTATAGAGTAGTCTAACAAAGCCTTGTCATAACAAAATAACCCACCTTTGGTGGGCACATTATATAAAATGACTTGGAAAAATGTTAAACCACCATTACAACATGACCCAATGTGTTTTATTAAGACTGATAGGCAAAATCAAAGTAGAACAAGAGTGTGAATATCTTTTTTAATTTGTTTTCACAGAACCAGAGAGGTGTTTGTTATGCGTAGAACAATTAGTTCTACTAGCTCTTATCTTAGGAGTCCAAAGATAACATATGTACAGTGTAAAGCTTTACAAAGGAATGTGTCAGTTTTCTTTTACTTCAAAATTATGCCGAATTTCATTAAATTAGAATAAAGGTTTTGGCTGTGACTGTGATTAAAGAGAATGTGGTTTCTGAGTAAAATACTAATGTCAGATTAAAAGGCAAACATTAAAATATGCAGTATAGTTAGGAAGCAAGCCATTGCTTCCTAATGGCCTATATTCAGAGTTATCATGCACATTCCTCCTATCAGCCAATAGGCATAACTGTGTTAATATAAAGATGGCAAATATGCAACCAGTCGTATCATAACCTCTTGAATATGCTCTGTTACAAGCTACTATCTGACTTCAGAATCTTTGGAGCATGGCAGGTAATTAATGGGTGAATGATGGATTTCAATGTGGTTCATGTGAATGAGCATTGCAAATGGAAAGGTTAAAACACTCTGAAGCACAAGCAGACACACAGACAACGGGACACATGCAGAGTTTATGGGTGTTGAGATGCAGGGTGGACAAAATTTTGGCCGGTCCAGACTGGAACTGGGTTAAAAACTGGTAACCGGGCTATAACTTACCCTAAACTCTTCCACCTCTTCTTCCTGCAAGCAAGAGGCGTGAAGATTGAAGCGTGACTTAAAGACAAGTTTAAAGATTTTGGGGGGTGTGGAGGAAGAGGAGGAGACAAGACTTATGTAGAGTTCATGCCACCACAAACAAACAGGAAATGACCAAAGATGGGAGGACACCACATGTGGGACATCTCCCTCTATAAACCTGAAAAGTGAGTGTAGTGACACTGTATAAAACAGGAATTATTGTATGTGACAGAATGCTGCAGCAGCACTTTAAGGTCATGTGTATCTCCTGAATTTGTCTGCAGGGGGCAGTCATGCACCGCAGCAGTGACAGACTGTGACAGACACCACAAAGAACACAGTGATACCAACTACACACTGCAGCTGTCATCAATTCCACGTTCACTTCCATCCAGTCCAAGCTTGCTACCTTCCAGAGTGGGATTTTAATCCAAGCATGAAAAGGAAAGGAAGCGAATAGGAATTGATTGGACAAGAACTTGAGTGTGAACATGATCCCGCAGGTCAGGGATCCAGGTTGGCTGGTGGATGTATGGTAGCCATGCTTCCCTTTTTGCCAACATTTCTTAGGTTTCAGATTTGAACTCTGGAAACACCTAACCTTAACCCATTCTCTAAAGACAGGAGGAGAAGCAAGTTTGAAGATCCAGTGAGCTTAGATGAAGCTCAGGATATAAAATAAATTCACTAACTCAGACTGTCTTTGTTATTTGAATGAACTGACTCTGTAAAGCCGACTAACAGAAGTTGTGAATTGACTTAATATGTTTAAATTGGATTGAAGAGATTTTTAATAAAGTCACTAAAGTTTGGCTCAATGTTTTTTTTTTTTTAAACATTAAATCTGAGACCATAAAACATTCATAAGATCTGTGTAAACCCGCATCACATTAAAATAAGGAAAAAGTAAAGGTAGGATGGGCCACATATGAGAACTGACCTCTGCCTGAACATCAGGGCGGGATCCATGTTGGCTGAGGTCATGCGCACCACATGTCTGATCTCCTTTGCGATCATTCTTAGCTTCTCAAAGTTCACCAGACCGTCAACGCTGGAGTCGTTGCCTGGGAGCACACGAGAGAACACAAACACACGCAAACAGATAGACAGGCACATTATTTAACCCACAGTGAGCTGTCAGCATTTTATATTTATAATATAAGATGCAAAAATATTGTTCAAAGAGAAAAGGCTGTTTTTCTGTTCACTGCTACAGGAGATCAAAGTTCCTTCTTTAATAATAAATGTTTTTTTTTGGTAAACAGATTCATTTTTGGATTTTTGCACAACTAGCGGAACATCCTGTTTAGCAGAAAACACCAACCTCTTAAAGTTAAGTTTATGTTGGTAGTTTTGATCTAACTTTGTGTGGTAAGTTATGGGGAAGCAGAAGTTGGTCCTTTGAGGGCCTAAGTTAGACTTTTTGCTGCACAGTGGAAATAAGTAAGGTGACTACAGAACTATAGTTTTATCTTAAACAAAAACAAGAAAAAGAAAACCTAACCTTATGTTAGAGGTGAAACAAAGGGCATATTTGTAAAGTGGATGGGAAAAGGATACATGGTTTTCAAACACTCTTATTAATACAATATATTGCAGCATAGATATTTTTAGTAAGCTCCTTTTGCTTTTGCTTTGATTCTGTTTTATTTTCCTGTGTTTTAATCATGTAAAGCACTTCGCATGGTCTTTGTACTGAATTGTGCTATACAAATAAATTTGCCTTGCCTTGCCTTTTCCTCCTACAGCCCTAAGTACATTTGAGTGCAACCTCCTAGTTCTAAAGGTAATCAAAATAGGTCATAGTCTTGATGTGTGTGACTCTATTTTAGCATAAATACAGCTAATCTGTTTTAAAATCCAAAATGATCTTTTAGGTCATTATAGAGAAAAATCCTGGATATTAAGGAAAACTAAGAAAGCAACAAGAACAGGCTTAAATTGGAACGCAACCAGACTTTCACTCAGTTTTTGGAAGACGTTTCACCTCCTATCCAGGAGTCTTTGTAAATAATATTAGTTTGCACCAGAGAAATGTCTAGGTAAGGCAGCATGGAGGTCCATCCTCCAGCACACCTTCCTTCAAAAAATTGAGCAAAGTTCCAGTTGCTTTCCCATTTCTGTTGGCGTTTTCCATGACTAAGACCAGACATGACCCTAGCATAGCTCTGTCACTATAAACCACAGGGGGGGTAACAAACAGAAAAAAAAACACACCAACTTTGTGTTGATTTTTCACACAAAACCTTCTCAAAATGAACTAAAGTCAATGTTGACAGAATGTGGAAAACTAGATGGCTAAATTTTGAAAAACAGACACATGAAGAGGCTTTGTTTTCCTACCTTCATGTAAGAAAGTGAGGTCCTTCTTGACCACAGGAAACAGTGGGATGATGGGGGGCTGCATGCTTTGGCTGCTCAGGACATTACGGTACTTGGCCATGTTCCTGGACGGGTCAAAGACGTCTTGAAGGTCCTCGAACAGCTTCTCGTACTTACTGGGCAATTTCTCCCATGAGCTCCGCAGCCGAGCCACTGGTGCCAAGTTCAGCCCGCTGTTCAAGAGAGGAAAGAGAGGGAAGGCAGACAGTAGGCCCAGGGAAACAGATAAATGAGGTAGAGGTGGGAGATGAAAGGAGAAAAATGAGGGAATGATGAAGGAAAGAAAGAAAGTTCAGCTCCTACACAGATATTCCTTCTCATGCCTTTCTACTGTCAGTTTTTTAACCTTTGCAATTGCCATTTACTTTTAGATACTAAGAGCTCTGATGCTGATAATTTTGTTTTCATGACTAAGAAGAACTAAGTACTGGAGGGATTGGAAACAGGTTACTACAAATCATTTAAATCCTGGACATTTTGTCCTTTTCCTGAGCCATCATTAGTAAAACAGTGAAGTGACTCACTTCTACCAGACAGACTTGTAGAAGAACTAAATCTGAATACTGAGTTTTCAAACAAGAATTTAGATTTCTGCAGATCAGGGACCCAATTACAAGAATCCCTTAAAGATTTTAAGGTATACTGAAAATAAAACATATACAAAACCTTCTTAACTCCTAGTTCATCTGCATATATTTGCATAAAACATCCTAAAATCAAAATGCTTTTTTTTCTCTCTGTAATTCTGGAAACTGAGGTTGAAACTATAACAAACTCATAATGTTTTTTTATTTCAGATAGCAATAGGTTCATAATGAAAACCTGGTGCGTTATGTTCCTTATACACCCGCAGTGGCAGAGGCAGATGTAGACCGTCATGAGCATCAGAAAGGCATATGCACAAAGACTTCCTGCTGTGAGCAGGAGTGTAAGGGGACATGGAGGTCAGGCTCTGCTGCTCTGAAGTACTTCTAACAGCCGTGAACAAAGGATTGTTACACTGCACAGCTCCTTCTGCTGCAACTTCAGGTTATTAAATCTCAACACTAACCAAGCATAACTTAAACACTTAAAAATATATAATAGATACATAATCCTGATAGTTCTGTAAAAAAAAGGACATCAATTAAGATAAAACTTTTAAGTTAGATTGATTAAATTAATATTTATTCTTTATTCATCTTTGTTTCTAAAGACATCTGGATTCTTGAATTTTTTGAATTCTGGATTCTTGAAGCGATTTCTAATATTGATGACACTTTGGCCTTAATTCAGATTTAAATTCAAAAATTATAATCAATATCCGTGTCCAAAATATTATTTCCAATCCATGACTGCCTGATATTTAATAATCTGGTGCAGAGGCAATGTCACACTGTGAGTGGATAGCAAATAGCTATAGGGTGGCATTTTAAACTGTGTGTATTTGCCATTAACAGTTAGCAAGTGTATGGGAGATAAACATAAACAATGAGCTCTGTGTGATACCCAGAGAGTCCAGGATTCCACTTTACCCTGAACATTTTCCTAAAAGCGCTTGGTTACTTAGCAACCTCACCGATAAGCTTCCACATGTCACCAAGGCAGAACCAACTAATGTGCAACAGTTTCTTCTCAAATCCAGAAAAGTTAAAGAAGCAACTAGTAAAGGAACCAAACTACAAGGAAAGTCCAAATGCTTATATAGGACATACAGAAATAATAGAATCAGACTGTGTCTGGATCCTTCAGCTATTATCTTTAGGCACATCAAAATGGCACAGAGACTAAGTAAAGCAGGGACCATGTGAGATTTTAGACTGAACTGACCTGATTATAGCAAACATGGAGTTGAAGTTCTTGCACTCCCTGCAGTGCAGCGCGATCTTGATAAAATGCTTGATGGTCTTCATCCTCTTAAGGGTGTTGGGCTCCTTGAGGATCTCAGAAGCCACCCAAAATGTCTCCTGATTCATCACCTCTTCAAACTGTTTTAGATTTGTACATCCAGCAGATGAGTCTAGTTTGAACAGATCCTCCACATACCTAATAACAGAACCAAGAACAGAAAATAAAAGTGTGCAGTGGGATGGAGTAGATTTTCATTTTCCTACTTTAAATAAAATTTTTGGGCTTTAGTTTATTTGAGAGTTTAAATAAAAACTTATTTATGGAAGTGGTATGAAGTAATTAAGGATATTATGTTGTACTGAAATCACAAACTGCATACTCTGTGGACTCGATGTTTCTGAAAAGTTCAAAGTCTCTCATGGAAAGCTGGGCAGCGACCTCCATGGTGCTGAGCTGCAGCAGAGAGATCTGACTCTCCCTGAGGAGATCCTGGGCGTCTTCATCTGAACACAACGTCTCCGTCTCCATGTTGTTCTTCAGGTAGTATCTTTATGGAAAAAAACGGAAACACTGTGAGCTGAGGCACTTTAGCAAAAATATTTTCTTTTAACTGTCCTAGTTTGGAATCTAACAACAACGTTGACCATTTTTAGAACTTTCTTCACCTTTTTTCTGCTGTAAAATGTTTGTAATTTCTGTAAATGTTTTTTTTTTTTTTTCAAAATGTCATTTGTGAACTTGGCCACTTAGTTCTCCAACTAATGATTAGCATTACTCAACATTAAATGTCTTCCGATAATGGATTTATTTTCAAAAAAAGAGGATGAGGACAAAAGGGGAGGAGAAAGATGTTTTAGCAGAAACTTCTATTAGAGCTTGATTTACAGTCTTCAACAGCCGGCCTTCCATTTCCTTCTATATGCTTCTGTGTTTATAAATCTAACCCTTCTACTTCTCCTCTAATAGAGCCGTAATGCAGCCGTCCTGGAATGCAGACCCTCTGAGGATTCAAGGCCTAGAGTGTGCACTCTTCAGCAGTAAAGTGTTGGCATAGACCTTGGTCTAAATTGATCCATAATGCTGAGAGAGAAGCTGGAACCAAAGCAATAACAGGCTGTGATGTGACTGAGCTAAGTTCACTCACAAAACACAACATGTGAAACAATATTTGCTTAAGGTCGAGAAGAAGAAGAGAACCAGTTTTTATTTATCCATTACTGTTTGTTCTGCAAGATGTTTGGGATCACGGTCCTGTTAAATGACTGTCTGAAGCCACATTTATAGTTCGCAGATAGAGTCCACCAGATTTGTATGTATAACCACTAGAAATATATATAAAAAAAGTTGAGGGTTTGTATGATCAAACAAGCTTCTCAGGGGTTCAAATGATAAAGATGCCCACAGCATCACAAATCCTCCACCGTATTTCACAGTCTGCATCCATTTCTGTTGCAGGAATCCTGGGACAGCTTCATCAGAGCAAAGAAGGTTTTCAGGTTTTCATGTTAAAAATCTAGCTATTAAATAACAATTTTTCCATTAGTTAACATGTAAATAGCCTCTAATGAATAATACTGAGTACTATTGAGACCTGGTGAACACTCAACTCTTGTTTTGGTCCTTTAAAAATGAATTCTAGAGGGTTTTTTACCAGCTTTCTTGCTGTTAAATGTAACATGACTACAAAGGGTCACATCAACCATTGTAATCTGTAAAATGATAATGAAAATAGCTAAAATCTTGGTAAATCTAGCCTTTTGATTCAGTGTGAAGGTCAAGGAACACAAGGAAAAGCTGCAGAACACCGGCCCTCTAGGAATTCAGCTTCAGAGAACTGCTTTACTATATTAACTTATTTCATGCATATATTAAAGGACATGGCGAGTAGGGGGGCTTCAATATCCTGAAGGACTTTTCAAAATGTCTGTAGCTAATTAAGAAACAAGATAATAGACTATAAATTACCTATAGAGATGAAAAAGATCAGTGAGCTAAAGAAGACAATGTAAAATGTTAAGGGACAAGGGGTGTATTTTTAAACTTGGAGAAAAAGGGAAAAGGAAAATGAAGATGGAGAAGGCAAAATTGGAGATAAAAAAAGTTGTTTTTTTTAATCCAGGCCCTGCAAATAGCGAGAGAGGGTGCTGGTTATGTGTGTATTGTGTTGATAGGCTCCTCTCCCTTCACTGATATGTAGGCTGACAGCGTGAAGACGGCCTGATTTTGGTTAAGCCTGCCACTCCCAGAGCTTCTGTCAATCAGCAGCAGCAGAGCGGAGGTTAGAGGATGGCTGATTCAAAGAGGCAGAGCTGGAGCTCTCCCAACTGTCTCTGGTAAATGAGACCTTCTGCTGAAGGCTATGAATGAACACACTGCTGACACTACAAACCATACCAACAAAGTCTCTGTAACAAGCATAAATGCTACCCAATCTTTACGTGAGAAACTGAAGGACTGCCTCTGGAGATGAGTGAAGATTTAAAAACAAAACTAATATGTATATATTTGCTTTATTAGTATTTAGATTAGAATATTAAAGTAAAGGCTGTATTTTAATTGTCACAGATTTGATATGTTTGCATGATGTGTGAAAGAGCGTATGAATTATTCCATATGTGCCACTCTGTCTGCAGAGGCCTCCGCCCCTGACAGAGGATGAAAAATTCATGCTAGCCTTGTTGGGAGGAGACCGACAAGGGACCCCCAAGAGAGGAGGAGAGGGAGGAGAGATGGATAAAACCGTGAAAAACTAATGGAGGAGGCTGTGTCTGCTGCTGCAGCCCCATTTCCCTCTTTGTTCCTCCAGGTTTCAGATTAAAAGGGGAAGATATATTCCAACAAGAGTGAGGACTTTACACAGGGAGGAAATCAAAGGTTTGTGATGATCTGGAAAATATGCATCCCACTATATTTCTGAATTGTCCTCCAAGAGCAATGCTAATGCTAATCATTTTCTAAATTACAGTAGAGCTTTGTGTTTCTGTTTAAATGCCACTGAGCTACAGCAGAGTAAGTTTTACAGACTCTTATTCAACTGAAGGAGTCCTACTAGTTTTTATTCATGTTGTGTAGCCAGAAAATGTTGACTTAATTGAATAAATCCGTGTGTCCTCAGGAACAGAGATCCAAACCTCTCCTCAGGAAGGATTTAATCCATATCATCGCAGCGGACATGAGCTGCTTCTTAACAGAGCCAATCTGATGCAGACAGTGTGAAATGTAGAGCCGCGGAGTAAAGGATTTAGACAGGAATATTCAAGTCTGCTCCTTAGTTCTGTTAGTTAAACCAATCTGGAAACAATCGAAGAAAGAAAAGGAAGCTGAATTTCTCATCTATTAATCTGGGTCTGAAATCCTGTCGTCTATTTCCAGCCCCTTTCTTTCTTAGCTTCTCAGAACGCTTTCAGGAATGAAGGCCTGCAGTGTGAACACAGCCACAGTCTTTGTTCTTTGGGTAGTAAAAAAGAAAAACTCTTTTTCATCTCCATAGGAAAATAAATTATGATACCTAACATCAGCTCAAAATGACAGTTTCTTCACCTGCCGTTCAGCTGAATCCGATCAGCCAGTTTGGAGAGCTGGTCGGGAAGCCGCCGCTGCTTGATGACTCCCTCTGGGCTGACTGACACCTCGCAGAGGGAGTAGGTTTCAGGCGCTGCCAGGAGGCCAAACTCATTGACAGTATGGGCGACAACGTCCTTGGCAGTAGTGTCCTTGCTGATGATGATGTAGCAGCTCTGCTGGTCTGCCTTGAACACCCGGATGACCTGGTCTGGGATGTCTTCAGAGCAGAAGAAATGAAGCAACTTGACATTAAAACATTGGCAAGAAAATGGATGCATGAAGCTCCAACATCGAAAGCAATCATCTGAATACTTAAGATGTTTTCACTCATTTGCTTTTAGAATTGTAATATTCATCAACAATAACTGAAATGTTTAGTTGCTGCTTAAACTCTAATGCAATTAAATGTAGATTAGACTCCACCAGCCTGGCCAGGTGTTTTGGTCTGACATGGTTGCCATTATCCAGCCTGTACATAAAGATGCTGCAGTGTCTGAGTTTTAGATGACAAAACAGCAGCACGTAAGAAAAAACAAGCTGCTTAAGGCAAAACCTATAAAAGCGCAGTTAGAGTAAAAACAGATAATCAATCATCTCAACTAGGAGCTCATTTTTTAGCTCCTTTCAGATTGTTGTGTTTATTTTCCATGAAGGGTCAAAGCATTTCTATAAGGGTGTTTTCTTTTTTCTTTTGTCGACTAAATGTTTTTGGTTATCTTTGATCTTAATTTGTTCATCTTTATAGTGCACTGATCATTATTTTGACACCCATAGACTATTGTGTGCATATCATAAGATTTAATAATGTAGGCATAACTTACACCACAACGATCAATTAGATCTCAGTTTATAAAGTAAATATCCACGCTCCAAACCGCAGAAATAATTGATATAAACAGAATGGAATGCCTTACATTCTGAGAGAAAAAATAATTTGACCACATTAGCTGTAAAGAAGCTGCCTATATAGTAATTCTAACTCCATCTCATGAGTTTAATACAATCGATACTTAGAGATAAAAGAAACACATCAATTAGTGAACTAAAACTAAGACATTTGTTCTTTAAAAAGGTTAGAAAGAAATATGCTAATGATTTTACATTTGGACCAATATAACATCATTTTTATTTTTGTAAAATATCTTGAATATTTTCTTTTCTCTGATTTAAAATGACCCTAATTTATAATTATTCCCAGGGAAGCGTATTTATGTTTCTTTTTCCAACAGTAGAGTTAAGAATTAATCAGCTCTAACCCCAAGTTAACTTGACGAGCCATATTGATATTTTGACATTAGTCTCTTTTCTTGGAGATAAACGACCACTTTGTAGAGAATACGCTTATTTATATTAATCCCATAACATTTACTGTATGCGACAGACAAATGGCAGAGCCAAAGATGGAGGCTATATTCTGCCGCTCTCCCTCTCCCCTCAGGCCTGAGCTCACAGCCAGCAGAAAACTGACAGTTAAGTGGTGTGGAAGCTAAATGCTTTGTGTCTTATGAGCTGTGATGACTTGCGATTAAAGTGTGCAAAGCTATGAGATAAAAAGTCCCCTATTATATCCCCTGAAAGGGAGGAGAACCAATCCCAATAAATCCATTGCTGCAAACCTAACCTGAATGCAGGGTACATTCAGGCTCCCATATCCAATGAATAAAATTACTCACTATGGTATCATTTATTTCTACTGGGAATCTTTGACAAATTGAAACCAATGATCGTTTCTTATACTGTATAATTGGTTCTGGTATAAAAATCCAACTACAGACATGTTCTACAAAGATCAACTTTTCTTCCTGTTTTTCAAATCCAATCGAAAACCAGTCAATTCCAAAATAATCAGATATTATGTGTTCTATTCTAAAATGTACTATGAGTACTTCGGAATGAACATTAGGATAGTTTTATCTGATATTTGTAAATAAGTTGATTTATTTTTTCAAGCTTTTTCATTATATTGTTGAAATATCTAATTTTGTCCAGGTTTGCACCTTTATTGGAACCACAAAAAAACAGAAAAACACAGCGTTCTTTAATATTGTGCTGATTAGATTTAAAGACAGAATCTCTATGTTCAATATGAGAAGAGTCGAAAGAGTAATAAGTTAGGGGGTACATGGGGGGAAAGTCAAATACTAAAGGTATATAGACTTACAGTAGAGTCCAAGAGCTGGGAAAGCAGTGGGGAAAAAAGAGAAACTATAGTAAGTATAAATGAAAGAGTGTGCCTTGAAACATCAGGATAGAAAAAAGTGAAGGAAAGACCAATTAAGCTGCTTCTCCAGTGTGTAAGTGAAGGGAAAGCAGAGATGCAGGCTTATGACTCAACATGTCAACACTACAACACCTGTTTGGAATCAGAAAACAAGAGAGGAACAAAGAGACAAAGTTAGAAGAACAAACAGAATGTGAGGAAACGGGTCTACACAGGGTGAATTTAAAAGTCTCCACAAAACTGACAAAACAAAAAGCCCCGATGGCTTGAGCCCCCTTCAGTCATCCTGCAAAGCAAAAAAAACCTTGATATTCATGCTCTACTTCTCTAATGCTGACAGACTGAGATGTCTGAGGAAAAAAGATTTATGAGCCAAATGGCATCACAAGTTAGAGAATAAATGACAGCAACCCAGAGGTTCCCTGTTATGAATATTGATGGTTTTTATCAGACTAATTAAGTCTCATTATGTCTCCAAATAATGCTCAAAGGGTTCCTGCAAGCTGCAGTAGGTTAATTTAAGATGTTTAAGACCTTGTTACTGTAGGTTATACACCAATTACGAAACAGGATCAGAGTTTAGTTCAGAACTTGCATGAAAATTATGTTTAAATCGACCATTTGAGTCTGTCAACTTTCATTGGTGTTTTTCATCTCCATGTTGTAAATATAGGTTAATTATTATTAGCATACATCTATCGGTAAAGTAAAACACAAAAGATGCACAAACTAAAGCGCAGGACAACAGAAATTACAGGATATAAGTTACAGTGTCTTTGTTTCGCTAAGGGAGTGCTGTTTGAAAAAAAAAAAAAAAACATTCAGCCTTGACACGGTGATCTATTTTACTCTTTTAACTTAGTACAGAATAAGATTTATAACAGTCACTGACAAAAAGCTTTTCAAAATTGATGGCGGTTTGAATTTTTCAAGTCAAGCCCATTAAAACACAATTTTTCCCATGCTAAAGATACAAAAAAAAATGGAAAAAGCCCTGAATGAACAATCACAGAAAGTTTAGATGTAGTCTAAAGCAATTAAAGCCTTAATGTGGAACAGCTGGAAAGATTTAAGATGTTTTCTTTTTTTTTTTATCCTGCTGAGCCCACTGTTTATATACACCGTTCATTCTGATCTAGTTATTTTTTAGTTCCATGTTTGGTTTATATTTGTTTCTTTGTGGCAAGTGCAAAGGATTTCCTGATTTGGTTAAAAAATACCAATATATCCTAAAATAATTATTATCTGCAATAAAAGAAAAAGGATCTAACTGGAAAAAGTTAAACCATAGCAAAAAAAAAAGGAAAAAACTATGCAGCTAACCTGAAATAAATGAGGCAAAGTGAACAACAGAAAGAGGTAAAACTTTCAAATTCTTATATTGATGTAATTATAATCAGGTGTTTGAATGGGATTTTTAAATCTGCAGCACATCTTTAGTTAAACGTTGAACCTTAGCAAAGGGAAGGGGGGCAATATGAAATAAGTTATGGTGGTGGGGGATCAAGGGTCACGTAACGCCTACAAGCAGGAGTGTGTGTCTCAGAGCAGATATAAGGCTTAAGGAATAAATGAGGATCACGTTCACCATAAATCGATGTCACATTTCTCCGCGTACTCTTTGACATTATGTCTGCATACACATAAATAACACATCCAGTTAGTCCATCTTAGTTTATATAATTATAGGCTCAGAAACCTTTGTGACTGGAGTAGATTAAAGACAACCTTTTAATGGCTCCCTAGGTTAATTCTTGTCAGAGAAACAATATGGAAATACCCCTGGGATTTTCTCTGCAAGCCTTCACAGCCTCCCTGTACATCAGTGCCTGGTTTGATTCAAGGGTAGATATGAAACCTGACAGTTCCTGTATTTTCAAAAGGAAACAAAGAAATAAATATGTGTGTGAAGACATTGAGTTAGTATAACATACATATCTGAAGCGGCTGCATCAGGCTATTTTTTGCACAGGAGCTGCAGCTGGTTTGCAGAAGCTTTCTGAGCTCTGGAGTCCTTAACTTTATGGTTTTTAGTCCGGTCAGTGATGGGAAAATATTTTAAAGAGGTCATCAGCTGTAACTGCGATTGCTAGCTAGTTCAGTGAAGAAGCAAAGCAGCTCTATGAGGTGTTTTCTACCCAGATAGAGGGTGCTTCCTTAAAGTATTTGGATTTTTTCCTTATCCTATTTATCAGCAGATTTTTACCAACATATCCTTAAATATAACACAAATCTGCCAAAGTTGCTCCTTTTATGTTGCTTTCATCGTTTCTTTTAGTTTTATTATTAATAGGATTCCAGAGATAGTTCTGATATGAGACGTCAGCTCTGGGGAGCAGAATTTAGGTCTCGGTTTCTTCTCTTCCTCTTTTCTCAGAAATACCCCAACTTTTTTCAGATGCTCATTTATGCAAAAGGCTGCAGAGAGAAGCCCGAGTGGAAATGCAGATATAACGAGATCTGTATGCAGGGTGACACCAGTCAGTAGACTATGATAATAACTTGTCTTTGTCTCCCATCTGCGACAGATGAATGGAGGCAAAAATCTAAGAACATCCAGTCATAAAATATGAATTAAGGAAACCTTTCAGTTCACCTCAGAGGTGCAGCATGTCCTGAATATTTTTACGCCAATATTGATTCTGATTATGCACTCAAAATAGATGTTTCCAAATATTGTATCCAAGCAGCATTTTAAAATCAAGAAACAACACACACTGGTAATAGGTTAAGGGATTTTTTTGCAGCTCGAGAGGAAATGCAAACAAGGCTGATAAGACAGACAGTGTCGATAGGAAAACTAAACTAAAAGTTCAAAATCATTTTCTATCTGTTAGTCTAGGTCCACTCACAGGGTTACAGATCATGGTACAAACAAACAAAAAAAACGTGCAGAATGGCCTCTATGATCTTCAATCTATAGAACATCTACAAAATGATCACCTCTCCAAGCATTAACAGCTGGAGCAGTCTAACCTGGCAGTAGCCATATTGATATGTGTAAAACTGAGTTCAGTTCTACACATATCAATCTGGGATGCATTTAGTTTAGTAAAATACCTCGAGCTGATTGGGTGACGTCACCTAGGACCCGCCTTCCATAATAAGCTTTCACCCAATCGACACGATGCTCACAATAGGATTTGTCTGCAGCTTCTTACTTGTTTTCCCAACTAGCGGAATAAGATGATAAATCTAACTTTGTCCAAATCTTGTCGGATGAAAAGCAGACATCTTCCCCATCTACAAATGCAGAAAGTGCTCCTCTTTGCTACCCTTTTAAATGAGAAATTGTCACTATTTTAGAAAAAACCAGGTCAATTGTGGTATCGATAGGTGAGTCTTCAAGCGTAGCCATGTTCGTAATGCAAGGTCCTTCTGACTGTCGTCAATACTACATGTTGCGTCCCAAAAAACGCTGCTGGCATGTCATTGGTCTGACTTGCTGGTTGTTACGAGATGGAAGTATTAGCGGGAACTTTTCAATATGGATTTGTTGTGAGACTGAAAACCCAGATCTTGCAACAGTCTGTTGTTAGTGATGTCTTTGAACTTTGTCAGATTCCCTTTTCTGTGGTAGAGCATCAACCAACCTTTCCATCATCATATAAAATTGAAAGGCCCTAATCAGTATTTTAACAAACTTGTCCACTTCTATCCAAGACGGTGTATTCAAACATCGCAGATGTTTTGGGTTGTCTGCTGTAAAGTCCACTGTAACAGTACTTCCATACTTTTTTGGGTTGAAGAAGCAAGAAAAGCTTCAGAATGAATAAATAGAAAATTTCACCAAGAGAAAAAAGTGAGTTTTACCACATCAATATGATCTCACGCTCACTGTTGCTTTCTTCTAATTCGATGTTTCACATAAGAGAGTGGGGGGAAAAAAGCAGTTCATTTCTGTTCCTTACCCGCGGGGTTGGAGAAGTCCAGTACGCTGTTCGCCGGCTGCAGCAGGTCAGGGCTGCTTGACGACAGGTTTCCAGGAATGGGCATGATGGCTACGCTGTGACGACACTGTTTGGTTCCCACAATGCTGTCATCCTGGGACTGAACCAGGCCTCCATCACTACAGAAAGAAATCAGAGAAGGCGCAGTGGGATGAGAGGGGAGAAATAAAGGGGAGGAGATAGAATAACGCTTCCTCCTTTGTTATGAGTTTGGCGGAATGACAGCTTCACCCTAGAGCATATCGAAATTCATGACAGAAAAAAGAACAAAAAAAAGATAGATTTGATCAAAATGTCCACTGTGGCACAACTACAACACAAAGAGGAGAAGAATGTTATTTTGAACAGATCTGCAGACATCACCTTACTGAGATTGATCTATGAAAATATTTCGAGTATCGGTGACAGAAAGTATGGATTCATGGATAGAAAACACAGGTTCACCAAACACAGACTCACAGGACGAAGACAGAAAGAGCGCCAATGAAAATATTCTTTACTGAAAGGTAAAACTCCAGCTAAGCTTTTAGAGATCTAGAAGATCTACACATATTCACCAATAGAACATCAGTTCCAGAGCAGATCAGGGTAGACCAGCAGTAGCCTTTAGACAGTTAGCATTACAGAGCATCAGTTGTGTTAGTAAAGTCCTGAATCTTTTCATAACAAGGTAAACGCCACACTTTGGCTATGAAATCATAATGCAAGACAATTAAGGTATTTCCTGTTAAGTAAAAATTAAATGCATGGTAACATCAACAGTATCTCTGAGGCTGAAGAGCTCATGTCCTCCTCCCTCTATAATTATTAAATCCTCCTCCTACTTCATATCTGTTGTAATTTAATTTCACTTACTAACACAGCCACATTAGAACTGAACAAAAGGCTGTGTTGTCACTGATTTACTGGGTGATAATAAGATATGTGGCCACCTACAGGTAAAAAGGTCCATAAAGAACTGAAAAGTACATTTTGAAATGTATGAAAGTTTTACTTTAAAAGTGCAGAAGAGCTCGATAAAACCACAGTTTGCAGAGGAAGTGAAGAAAAGAAAATACTGTTACTGAATAGGAGAAGAAGAGAAAGCTAAGCGTGTTAGGTTGGAGGACAGGTAAAGGCTGCAAGACGACGACAAGTCGTCGTCATCTTAAATGGAATCGGAAAATGAAATACCTTTTAACTAAGGAGAGTATGTCTCCTATGTACATCTGTCTTTAAACTATTCAAATATGTGCAAATCTACAGATTTCATCAGAAGAACTTTATTTTTATTGCACTGCTTGACAGTCAATACAAATATAACTGAGATTGTTATAAAATGCATGTTTTAATGCATTTATATTCAGTTTTTCCCCCCTCCATCATATCAGATGTTGGTTCTACATAGAAATTTATATTGGTGTCTGCTGATGCTGGTCATTTTTAAGCATATCACTATCAGTCCAATAAATTAGCTTTAAAAACCAATGTTCATCTAGTTGCATTTTGTTACAGATGGGGGAGGGTTGGTCATCTGTTCTGGTCAGCAGAAGTCAGCACTGTGGTTAATTTTTTATAGTCCGATGTCAATATTAATGTATTCCTATTTTAAATGACAGAATTCTGGGCTGTTATTTGTCATCAATGATCGGAAACACTCAGTAAGAATGAATATTTGGGCTGAGGATATCTGATAATGGTTCTAGACTTCTTAATTTAAGGGGAAAAAAAGAAGAATGCTTTAATTCAGACTCTAGATTCTGGAGTCTCATTGCTGCGGAGTTTAGATTCCACATATTCTTCCCAGACGACACAGGAACCAAGTAAACGTCCAATTTTCAGGAATCAAACAGGGTTAGTATTGTTGATGAACGTGCGTGTGTTTATGTCTTTGTTAAGGGGCCTGCTGAGCGCAGGTCTGCACATGGACACTGAAACACATTTGGAGGATGGGGATAAACACAACAAAAGCTCTTACCCAAACAGGCCCCTGAAGCAGCAGAGACAGACAGATAGAAGAGAGACAACATTTAAAATGCATGAAAAACAGCTTATTTTGAAAAGAACAGGAAACGGGGCTCTGCTAAGGAGAAGCAACGAGACAAAAGCAGATGTTGGTCAAAGCTTCTTCCAAAGACACAATGAAGAGCAGAAAAAACAGATCAGTTTGCCTAACCATAAGGAGGAATATAACAGCAGCTTTTGTGTCATTAAACAGGAAGACATCAGGATCAAATTAAAATAACATGAAAGAATGAATACGACACAAAGCAGAACATTTGTTTTTATTACTAATTCTTGGTTCGAGTAAAAAAGAGAGTCAACTCAAGTTCAACCTTTTTATTGCACTTTTATAATTGGAGTTTTACTAAGTTAGGTATGACTATAGTAAAAGAACAGAGTTAATGTTATTTTGGCTGAATTAAGGTGTTTACTAGGGATGCACGATATTGGGATTTTGGCCGATATCCGATATGCCGATATTTTAAAACTCATGTAGCCGATAACCGATACCGATGTTAAAGCTGGACAAAAATAAGTAGTCATTGAAAATAGCAGTTTTGTTATCCATTTCTGACACTTTGAAAAATAATATACCTAAATATATTTTCATATGCTGATATCAAATTGATTTTTAAAAACGCTTTTAACGCTTTCAAAATCTCGTGAAATTTCATCTTTCTGTTACAAAACTCTCGTGATATTTTGCAAATTCTTGTGAGATTTTGTTAGTAAAATAGATCGATACCGCGTCAATATATCAACATATAAAACTATGGCAAAATTTTGTGGATTTTCGGGGGATTTCGTAGCATAATGATGACATATAGCAATATTTCATTAGTAAAAGATATGGTGTTTTTAAATAGCAATATATCAGCATATGAAGATATTGTGATATTTTAATGTATCAATATTTTTCCCTCGTCTTTAGAAGTTTTTAAGTTTGTAAAAAAGAAGTTTTTGAGGAAGAAGTAGTAGTATTTTTTATTTATTTTTTTAGACTGTAGAAACTCAGAAGCTGATCAAATATCGGGTTAAATATCGGTGGGGTGGCAGATGTCCGATATTCAGTTTTAAGGCCGATACAGGCCGATACCGATAGGGGCCGATTATATCGTGCATCCCTAGTGTTTACCACCACACTGCACTTGTTTTGGAGCGTTATCTAGACCAGAAAAAGGTTGTGACGTTAGATAGTCAGTATAAACCATTCAAAGGCCTCCATCATATTTCATGGTTGTAAAGATGTTTTTTTTTTCCTCTACAAGTCCTAGCTTTTATTTGTGGTCATCATAAGTGACAACAACAAAAGAAACAACTCTAGAACAAGCTTATCACACATGTTGAGGTCATCTACTACAAGTGTGAAAGACTGACACTAATATAAATTAGTTACTTAATTTGCACACATTGGGTATTTATTAAAATAACAAGATGGTGGACTTCCTGTCATTGCTGAGCAGAATCAACTTGTCATAAAATAGTGCTCAAAGGCCTCTAAAAATACTATCTGTCAAAATACAAACTCTGCATGGATGTCTTTAGGTTTTAGAGGAGATGCTTAGATGTGCTTTCATTTTATGGAGACTTTGAAAGCGGTTTATAATTCTTTTTTTAATTAATCAAAAATATTAAACTCTGCAAAGAAATATACTGTATCACCCCCAAATATAAACATAAATGATTAGAGAAATTACTTCTACCTTAAAATATACTCAAAGCAGGAAAACTGAACTTAACTGACAGACACTCCAGTTTAATCACACCGATTGCCCTTTGATGTGTCAGATTTTAGCTCAATGTAAAAATGAATTATGTTACCAAGAATTAGGTTGTTGCATTGCACTGAAACTTCAAGCATTTTTCTAAACGGAGACATATTATATTTAGGGGCATATTTAAAGTCTCATTTTATGTACTGTTTGCAAACACAGTCAGACATAAGCCTTAAATCCAACATTCATACCTCATAAAATGCCCTCAGGAACACATTTGCTCCAATAACCTGTTCTATTATCATATCCTATTACTTGAATCAGCCAATTTGTGGGTAGAGTGAGTGATAGTGGCAAAGGGGAAAATCCCTATTTGGTTAATGATTAAACGGTGGAAAACCTTTGAAAGATGCAAACTGCTTCGATCAAACAGTCAGCTGATGGTTTGTCATGACACAAATCTAAGGGTTTCATGCAGATTATTTATTTTAGTGCACAACACTGAGCTGTAAACACCAGAAACAAAGGAGAGAGGACAAAGATGTACACATTGGGTACACATCCAAAAGCATTTTCATATTTTTATCCTAAATTTATCTTACATTTTCTCCTACTAAGGGCTTTTACGAACGCAGCACGCCAGATTCAAATGATCGGAAATAATTGTTGTAAACGAGATGCAGTGCACCTGAGCGTAAGCAAGTGCCTATTCCCGAGAAATGTAAATCTGCAGAATTACCGCCCCGATTATTCAATATAAGGGTGCGGATTCCAAGAAATGTCATTGAAGATGGAGAAGAAATTTTTAAAGGTTCGCGTATCGAGGCAGTAACAGTGGATAATTAATGACAAGAACTGTAAATTACATAAATGCACTGTTACAGAATAAAAAACTACTGATGGAGGCAAGAGGTGCAAAATATGCTGCAGATGTTTAATATGGGTTTTCCATCCACCAACATAAAAACGTTCTGTTAAATCTCCTTTTAATACACGAACACACGTGTAATGTACATCTCCAGACCATGTCCGTCATCCTTTCATCGTCTCTCACAACCCATAAACATGTATAAAATGTTGAAAGCAAAACGGATTTGATGAAGTCAAACAGACCCCATCCCAATTATTCCACATGTAGTGTAATAACAAAGCCAAGGAATGAAAGGAATTCAAGTGTTTCCCATAGAGGAGCTTTGATGAACTTTCCAGCCATTGTCTGATTCAGATGTTTTTTTAACTGTAGATTAATCTGACTGTTCTTTTCTTCTATCTAAGCGAATAAAAACATAATTTATAATAACCGATTTGTATAATATATATTGATATAGCGTGGTAAAATGAACAATTGCTTCTAAGTAAAACAAATGTAGTCATTTAGTGAAAAACCAGGTTTGGATAACAGCTCACCGATTGTGCAACTCTACTATATGTGTGAAGTGTGAAATAACTTGCTGCTTGTTCTTGTTGTTTAAGTATTATTTGTTATTTTTAATTCATTTGTTTTCTGTGTATTTAGCCTGTGTGTGTTTTAGCTGGTATTTGTTTTTATGTGTATTTATTGTTTCTAATGGCAGCTACTACTTTGCCTTGCGCACTTGGGTTCATGACAAATTTCCCCTAGGGGATAGTAAAGTCTATTCTATTCTATTCTATTCTATTCTATTCTATTCTATTCTATTCTATTCTATTCTATTCTGTATGTCAAGTCTGGAACACTCATAAAATGTGTTCAAACCTGAGAGATTAGGAACAGGAAAAAATGGGGAAAGTGACATTTTCTCCCAAATCACTCATATTAACGTTTTGAGAGGAGCTAGTGCTGGTGAGCGGTTCTTGTGTTAGGGCCCGCAGAGTGTGTATGGGCGTTTGTGAATGAGTTAGTTGTCTAATTAACAGGGTGAGAACAGTATCTGCTGTTTCTCTGCAGCACTTGATGCAGCCTCCAGTTAAATGAGGCATGGAGAGAAAATGAAATGATGAAATCAAATCAAATCTGGATCACCATGTTACGGGTGGAAAATCCAATACAGCCTCGTGTGCAGAATTGTTCTGGCTGCAGCACACATGGCGGCTTGTTACGGACCCTGCAAACGGTTACATGATTATATGCTGATCATCCTGCTTTTTACTTTGCTCTTATTTCCCTTTTAACTGTCTTTATTTCATCAGCTGGAAATAAAATAACATTAAGAGAGAGTAAGGCTCATATAAACATGGTATGAAGGGGACTGCAGACCAACACTAACTCACAAATACAGGTAACAATGACAGTTTTAGTATAACAAGACTGGTCCCATGGTTTCCAGCTTATAACAAATAAAATAAAAAGAATACTGTGGTCAGAAAATAAAAAATCTCAGATCATAAAATCTATAGATGATCTGAGCCGACTAATCCAACAAATATCACTTACTGTGGGATTTACAGATATTTAAAGGCATGTTATGTTCTTAAATAGTGGAGTTTTAAATACCCATCTTTTTTTTTTATTATTCTATGGCCAAGTATATTATTTCTGATAAGAAAAGTTTTGTTGTTCCTCATTGTTTCTTAGAGTTTGTGTTTACCTGAATGGTTTGGGTGGCAGTATACTGAAGCGTGTCTTTTCTAGCATCTTCCTGATCCTGTTTCGTCCCCCTGACACGGTGTTAGCTTTCATCTTGCGTGTGCTCTTGCTGTCCGTGGGGAACTCAATATCTCCAGGAAGATCAGCGATGGAGAAACGATTGCCTTTTTTCTCCTGGATCTTAGGAATGTGAGGGCCGCCATTCTTCTTTTCATGCACAATCCTGCTGAGGAGCTCTTTGAACACTGGATCGATGGAGGAAAATAAATAAAGTTTAGTGCTTTCCAAATGTTCCAAATATTTCCAAAAAGTTTTTTTATTTTTATTTTGTTAAATGACAAAAACAACTCAATGTGATTTACTGAGGGTACAACACAGGATGGAGGGAGAATGTCGGCTGGCTGTCAACTGATATCTAAAGAGTGAGTCTTTACCAACCCAGGAATTACAACACAAATGCAAGCTTTATATGGCACATCTATACCAGCCGTGTTAATGAAATCGAGTTGTGTGGAAAGATTAACAAAGAAATACTGTGTAGGTTTTCCTTCTGTAGCCTCTAACAGAGGGATCAGACTCCAGTCCTTAAGGGTCAGAGTCCTGCAACTTTAAGTTTTGCCTCAACTTTAACGAATGATCAGGTCAGGAGCAGGACTGACTGAGATCTTTTAAGACGAGGAGATAATTTGACGTATACGTGCTGCATCCGAAGAGTTGCAGGATACCAGTCCTTGAGAATCCCTCTATATCAGGGTTCCTCCATTCCAGTTCTGGAGTTTCGATGTCCTCCACATTTTAGATGCATCTCTGCTTCCACAGCTTAATGAAAGGCTAAATTACCTCCTCAGTATGCAGGCAAGTTCTCTAGAGTCCCGCTAATGACATGATTATTTGACTCGGGTGCGCTGAAGCAGAGACACATCTAAAAGGTGCGGGACAACATACCTCTAGGACTCTGTTGAATTTCCTTACTGGCAATTTTGTTTAATTAAAAACAAAATATAGGTGAATTTCTGTGAGATTTGAGGAAACATGGCTACAAAACAATTGCTAATATTTTTAATACGCTCCTGTTGATGCTTAATAAATGTCTGGTTTCTTTCTTTTATTTCTCAGATATGTGCTACTTTAGGTTGGTCTTTCACGTAAAACCAAACAATCTTCACAGTTCGGGGTCCCAACATGAACAAAATAGACAAGGTTTGGCAAGATTGCTCCACTATAGTCATTACTCACATGTTTGCTAGATAAGCAGTGAGGTGTGTTTTCAGCTTTTGGGACATTAAACATTTTGAAAATGCTTGCAGAGTTACTCACCAAAGATGTTTGTTTTCACAGTGAGGGAGAGGTGTGTGTTATGCTTAAGGATGTCCACTGCTTTGGATAAGGCGATGTTCTCAAAATTCTGACCATTAACCTCCATGATCTATAACAACACAGATGAAATAAAATGAGACATCTAACATAGGAAATTTGACTCATCACCATTGGGGACTGTTTGCAGCCTATGTGATAATAGATCTAAACATCCAATCCAAACAATCAATTTTCTTTGCTCTAAAATCTGAAGGGCAGTAATGAAACAGCGGATCTGTTCAGTCTCTGTTCATTCATTAATTAGATGCTAAGCTAGTTGGCATGAAGTTCAGAAAAAGCCTTTATTTTTGTGTAATATTCAGAGGAATAATATAATATGCAGTGGTTAAACAATTACTAAAATAAAATGTGAAAGATATACAATCAGCTACCATCAGTTAACGATAATATAAAAATATGAGAGTGTGCTCCATAGGTAACAACTGAACACCTAGAAATGTTTAGATAAAATTACCAGTTTAGACATTGCAGCACACTTAGAAACTGAAACTATTTGAGCTGAAGCTGTGAGAAGGTACATCAAACGCACTAACTAAAGCTTGAATTATGCATAACTAGGTCCACGTGGCCAAATTATGTCATTATTAGCCTCCACGCCCCTCCGCGTGGCATCCGTTTAGACTGAATTCCTGCACCACGCATCTAGGAAGCTCCGTAACTATGGGACAGACCTGAAAACATGGCAGCTAGCAACAGGTCCTACTGGAGAGGGTTCACAAAAGTAAATATCTAAAGACATTCTGTATTTTACTCAATTTAATTCAACAGCAATCCATTCAAGTAAAAGGGAGTTTTTCCTCTCCACTGTTGCTACAAGCATGCTTAGTGTGAAGGATTGTATTTGAGTCAATGAGTCGATTCAATCAACTGGTTTTACTTAAATAGAAAACTTTGAATCAATTCGACTGTATGATCTGGATGAACTGTAAAGTGCCTTGAGATGACATGTGTTGTGAATTGGCGCTATAGAAATAAACTGAATTGAATTAAAGTAGCAATGAGGAATCTGTTATTGCAAAACTGAATTTGAGGCGTTTTTACTTTTCTGATTATCCTAAAATGCATTTCTGAGTATGCCAATGATAGAGACGCCCTTCTCTGTCATTCCGCTTCTCTCTCATTGACTGCAAGATAGGAACCATCAGCACCCCCAGCCCTGTGAGGATTACGGGGGCAGAGAAAAGGGATGGAGGGATCGATGGACATAAAAATCACACAAAGACCTGACACTAGATCTGAGAAACAGCTTATCCTTCAGTGGTTCATCTGCTGCACAGACAGTTCTCAGTAAAGAGCCTTTTCGAAGTTAAAATACTACCTTATCTATCACATAGTGCTTTTTTGATCATTGAATCTAAAGAGAAAATAAGTGTTTGTGATAGTTATTAATCATAAGATCCTTTTTTAAATGGATTCTTTACCAAGATGCCTCATGAATCATTACACAACTTCATCCCTTGCATTTAGGAGCCTCTGCATGCCTGAATGCAGAGGCTCCTAAATAATTTATTAATAATTCATAGTTAACAGTTAAGAGGCTTAGTTGGAAAAAAAAAAGGTTCATAAACATATCAGATGTAGAGAAAATAAGTTAAAAAAAAAGGAATATTTAAACATCTAAAATTCAGGGAAAAAACTTGCAGAAAGCCTTCAGTGCCACTGATTAGGATCACTTACACTTGTTTTTTTATTTTCAGACTTCAACAAGTGAATTATTGGCTACACGTTAAATTATAATTCGACTAATCAACAGGCAAATGAGCAGCCTAGCACATATGTCATAATTTTGCCTTTTTAACTTCCAAGCATGAAGTAGCTGTGAAACCAGCAATAAAAGACAGATATTTATACACTTTTTGCTGACCTGATCCCCTCGCTTGAGTCCAGCCTCTGCTGCTTTGCTTCCTTCTTCTACAGACTCCACAAAGACACCAAATCCTCTCTCGCTTCCTCCTTGCACACTGAAATGAAGCTGCGACTCCCTGGACGCCTTCTGCAGAGTGATCTGTCTCCACTTTGCCTTGGCGGCGCATGCAATGTTCAGCAGCCGCAGATGGCCCTTCATTTTCTGACAAAGAGAAAGACAGTCAGGAAAACTGGGAACTACAAGGAGAGAATTAAAAGAAACATCTAACAGACCATTTCATGTTCTTACCGATGTTTCTAGATGTTTCTCAAATTCCTCAAGAAAGCGTGTCATGGCGGCGTCACCCTCAAAGTCATTAAAGTGGTTGTTGACCCACAACAGGACGATTCTTGTTACCTGTGCAACACAGAAGCTTCTACATTTAGAGGAGAAAAATCATCCAAAGCGTTCCCGTGACACTCTTTACCCTCTTTCATTAAAACCATTCCTAAAAAAAAAAA